CATGTTCTGAAAACTATTTGGATCTGAAATTTTAGGATTTTTAAAAAATCTGACTTTCACTTTTCCATAGCTCAGGTTCTATTTTTGCACAAGACCAAATATCTTTTTTCATATATATCATATATATCATATCTCTAAGTCCATATATGTCCCCAATAATTCATGTTTTTTTTCATCTTCTGAAAATGTATTCAGACTGAACTGTATTCCTCCATCTCCTGTTTCCTATTATTTAGCCAATGTTGTCCATCTGGTGATATCCAGATGTAGAATCGTCATTTATGTTGCTTAAAGCAGATATCGGCAATGAAAAAGTAATTCTCTTTGCAAATTCTCCTCCATTATTATATTTATTCAAATTTCCCTGTAATGCCAGGCTCCCTTAAATGTACATAATTTTTAGATATTTACATTTGAACACTTCTTAACTCGGCACAGGATTCCCTAATTTTTCTAACTACATCTAATAACAAGGAAATAGAATTAGACAATTGTAATAGATAGAACACCATGGTCTATTGGATTATAGCTAGCCTAAAAGCACATTCTGAAATGCCCTGTGTAGAATTTTAAGTTTACCATCACTACCTCAAAAAGTGAACAAAAGGACTTGGTAAAATGTAATGATATAAGCTAAATATGACTGGAATGAACTAATTTTTCATAGGATCGTCCTGTGAGAAACTAGAAATTAAGAGCCATACCTATTTCATCTGTTTTAAGGAGAACTTGTTATGGGCTCTTAGAAAAGCTGCCAGACATTTTGCCTCCATTCGAACTATAAATTGTCCTCTCAAATCCACAACTCAGAGGCTCTTGTGCACACAGGCAAGACATATTTCCACTGGAATTGCTACAAAAAAACAGTTCATATGCCTCAACTGTGTCCAACAACGAGGTTCCAGAGCATGTCAGGTATACTGGTAGCAACATTAGTTTTTCGTGAAACACTTACTTCAAATTACCAGTGAACTTTAGAAACAGGGACCTTTGCTTTCCTGTACTGACTTTTTTAGAACTAGATTAGTTTGCCATAGACAAAATGACCTTTCAGGAAAAAAGTTTTTTAAAAGGCCTTGTACCTTTAAAGGTATCTTTGGACTCAGGGTGAAAAAGGCCTACACTTTCTCCGCTGAGATTTCTTTTATGATTTGAGGAGCACCTTAATTTCCAAGGTACGAGTGGTCTCTACATTTACGAATGCTCCTCTGAACCCACACTAATATGAAGAATTTTTATATAAAGTCAAATCACTGGTCTATCCCATTTCCTGGAAATTCTTTTTGCTAGAAATGCTGTGACTGGATACAGACCCTCTCCACCCACATAACCAAGTGAATGAAGTTGGTCCTGCCAAATATTGTAATTCCCCTTTGATGTGAACTCTGGCCTGGTATTCTGTACTTGTGTCTGTAGCAGAATATGTATTATGTAATGTAATTTGCCAGAAAGTCCTTTTTTAATCTCCTTTTTAAAATAAAATCCTTACAATTTATATTGACTGTTTCCTAGTATGATTTGATTGCTTATTGTACTCTATGACTATGAATAAGTATTGTGCCTTATGATTCTTGACCCTTGACTTTTTTATGTACACTGAGAGCATTTGCACCAAGACAAATTCCTTGTGTGTCCAATCATACTTGGCCAATAAAGAATTCTATACTATTCTATACTATCTCTCACTAAGCCATTAAGAGATATATTTCTAAGTGGCATATATTATTTACTATACAAATAAAAATTGTGAGTCCTTCCTCTGAAACCAACAGATTGGCAAGTTTCAATAAGGGATTTAACAAATATTCTAACTATAGTTAAAGCAACCAGCCTGTGTCTTTAGCCACCCAATCCCTCACAATACAACCTAATGCTAAAAATGGACAAACATAAAAAAATGCTAGTTTCCTCATTTTAGAACAAATTCTATTCAGATTACATTTCTACCCTGGCCTCTTTATTGTTTCTCTTTTAACATTCTTTTGACATTCTGCTTTTACTTGTAATATGGGCCTTATCACAATTTTCAGCCACTGCTTAATTTAGCCACTCAGTTTCCATGTTACCAGTATATTCATGGTAGCAGTATATGACAAATCTCTTACTTCTTGTTTTCTCATGTAGTTTCATTTCTTTCTCACACTGTATAAGGGCAGAGAGATCTTACTGGCCACAGTCCCTGGATCATTTTAGGTGCTTTCAGAAACATTAGAGAGGACGAGGCCATTATAACAGCAGCTAAATATAGGTTTTCATTCCCTACAATTGCTGGATGTGATTAGCTCCTGTAATTTCAAGAACTACATATATAATGTATAAAAGTAGCACAGGTGTGTTTAGAATTTTTCTTCTATGTTGGCTCAACTATATTTGTCAATTGGATTGAGATGGGCAGCTATAGAAGTTGAAGAAATAAATAAATTGTGATGAAAGTGGAAAAAATGAGGAGATACTTTATATTAAGTCTATTCTTTTAATGTTAGTGTTTGAGCATTCTGCTTTATATGTACTCTGTGTGTGTGTGTGTGTGTGTGTGCGCGCGCGCGCGCACGTGTGTGTGTGTGTCTTCAAGTCTGCGTACTTTCCTGCACAATAGTATCTGCATAATAGTAGTGCCTTCAGGGTTTTTGGCAGAAATATTTGAGAAGGGCTGAGACTAGCCCAAGGTTTCATGTCTAAGGTGGGACTAAAACTCAGTCTCCTGGTTTCTAGTCTGGTGCCTTAACCTCTGTACCAAACTGGCTCTCTCAATGGACTGCATCAGAATAAGTTACTTTTAGTGCTACTGGACGAGTACTTCATATATAGGTCAAGAAGAGGGGCTAAGAATTTGGATGAGGTCTGAATCAATTCCCATATTTCCATTCATGAGCTAGACAGCCACTTTTGGTGAAACTTCATACTCCATGAAGCATCTCACAAAGCACTTTCATCTTGTGGCCCTCTGCTCTGCTCAACCATCACCTGGCCCAATCTGCAAGGTGCTTTCTATCAAGAAAATCCAAGGATAGGTCCCATGAAAATTAAATTCCCTCTTTCCTTTCCCATTCCCTCTAGCGATTGCCTCATTTAGTGGCTGTTCGCCTAGCAAGAATTCTTCTGACTTGGCGATACTTCATTTTAAACAGAAGAATAGTTCATTTGCAAACAAGGAGCCTAAGTCTGCTTAGAAACAATCCAGGCTAGCTAGAAAACATTCCTAATTCAGAAAACCGAGGAAAACATCCAACCACAATTAGTGAGTCAGAACTCTGTAAAGAATAAGCAAATCCAAGTTATAGGTCAGCTTCTCAATTAAACAAGCAAGTTCCCAAAAATTTCTCAACCCAGATTCCCTTCATTGAATTGATGCTTCTCAATCAAAAGTGGATTTTTTAAAACCATTGTGCATAGAAAATAATTTACCACAGCTATTAGAGGTAGTTTTCCCTTAGCAACTGACTCATATAATAACTGTCCACAGCTAACAATAGTAATGAAAAAATAACTTTATGACTAAACTAGTATTATTATTTATCCTTTTTATCTTCCTTACTGCCTCCCCTTTTACTGTATTATGATTATGATTATTCTATTGCTTTGTATGTACACTGAGTGCTTTTGTACCAGAGACGAATTTTTTTTGTGTTTAATCACACTTGGCCAAATTAAGGTTCAATTCAATTCAGTTCAAACATCACATTTATAACCTTCACAGGTCTCTAAGCAAAAGAAACTGAAGTCAGATCACAAGCAGTCATGGTTTCACTTAGCGACCATATTGCTTAACAACTCAATTGCCAGTTGCCACTCTCAATTGTGGTCACTACATGACAACTCCAAGTACAGTGAATTGTGTTGGTGTAAACTTATTTAGCTATATATCCTTTCCTTATTCCATACCATTCATTTCTATCCATTCAAAGAATATGGATATACCATATTCTTTGGCATATCCCATACCGTATATTTCTTATTTATTTTCTGTGCCTTTGTGTGGTGATGTTTATGGGATGGATTGTGAATATTCTGTCTGGCTGTTCCTCCCCAAAACATGGGACCACTTAACCGAACAGTTATTTGGTAGTGAAATTTCAAGTTTCCCTAGCACTCTATAACCATTGTTCTGAAAATACAATCAACAAATGTTGCTCAACATGGTCGAAGCCTCCTGGATAAAAAAAGGTTTGTTTCCCAGACCTTTCCTTGCAAACCACACCCAGTTTTCAAAGTGTCACTGCTCTTAGCTGTTCTACCTGCAAGACCATTTCTCATCCCTTGAAAAACCAAGCTTCCTGTACAATTTCAACATGTTTGCCCTCCAGTTCCTCCTATCCAGATATGTTCTTCTGTTAAAAATCCCTTTGTCAAATTAGGTTGATCCCATCTGCAGGCGGGGCATTTATTTCCCTACTTCTCCCAGCCACATTCCCAACCTAACAGTCCCGATCCTAGGCCAAAACTTCCTGTTACTCAGCATGCAATGCTGCAATCCAGAGCTAAGTTTTGAACACCATTATCCACACCCCAAAGAGAGGCAGCGCATTTCTTTCTTTCTTTCTTTCTTTCTTTCTTTCTTTCTTTCTTTCTTTCTTTCTCTATTCCAGATTGCCTCTCATTTATTCCAGATCGCTGCAAGGGCACCCTATTTTTCACCCATTCAGACCCAACCCTTTCCCCAAACTTTTCACAGCTAGAAGACACTCAAAAGCAAACCTTTACAACTCCTAAAATGAACAGGGAAGGAATTCCAATTTCCCAACTTTCTTTTGGGGGCTGTCCTGCCATCCCTTCTCCTCCACCCGCTCCTCTTTTATCACCGCCTTTTAAAATAACCTAGTGCCCGTCTAGTGCTTTGGGATCGGACTCCCATCTTCCTCCCCAGCTGCGATCGATGGGAGTTGAAGTCCCCATTCTGGGAGAAATCGCTGTCCCAAGTTCGCCATTCCGGCTTGCGTGATCCTCCAACTCCCCCTCCCAGAGACCGATCGACCCCGAGGCCCACGCCCGCCTCCACTCACCCTGCCGGCCCACGATCTCGGCCACATGCTCGGAGCTGGGCACCGGGACACACTCGGTCGTGTTGACGCTTTTCCTTCGCAGCAGCGCCGCCTGCTCGCCGTTCAAGACCGACCCGGGGGGCATCCCGGCCACCATCGCCGCCGCCGCCGCTGCTGCCGCCGCCGCCGCTCCGGGCGGCCCGTAGGATTGCGAGAGCATCGCCGCCATCACCCCGGCGTGGACATCGTCGCCGGGCCCGTAGAGCGCCCCGCCCAGCGCTCCCGCCTCGGCTACCTCAAAGGCCGAGCCGGCGGCGAGCGGCAGAGCAGAGACCTGCGGCGGCAGCAGCACTGAGCCCAGTCCCGGGGGCAGAAGCGGCGGCGAGGAGGAGGCCGGCGGGGGCAGCAACAGCAGAGAGGCCGGGCCGCAGACACCGCCTCCCCGGGGCTCCAGGAAGCCGTCCTCCTCCTCCTCCTCTTCTTCTTCCTCCTCGGCGGCCTCGTCTTCCTCGTCCTCCGGCGGCTCCTCCAAATCCAGCTCCAAGTCGCCGCCGCCGCCGCCGCCTCTTTCTCCTTCCTCAGGCGCCGCCTCCTCTTCTTCTTCCTCCTCCTCCTCCTCGTCTTCGTCTTCTTCCTCCGGCTCCCGGGCGGCCTCGTCCCCGCGCTGCCTCCTCCTCAGGCCCAGGCCTGCCAGGCGCTCCCTCAGCAGCCCCGTGTCCGGCACCAGCGGCGGCTGAGGGGAAGCCGGCAGTAGCGGCGGCGAAGGCGGCGGCTGAGCGTGGTACTGGAGCAGCAGGCCCGGCGGCGGCCTGGGCGGGGCAGCCGCCGCCACCACCACCAGCGGCGGCGGCAGCAGCAGCCGCGCTCCCAGCTCGGGAGGCTCTTCGGGAGGCGACGGCGAGGCGCTGCCGCTCGGCATGGCCGGCGGAGAAGAAGGCGGCGGCGGCGGCGAGGCGCTCCGGCTACGCGGGCCCGGGAGACATGCTGTGGTTGCGGCGGCGGCGGTGGCGGCGGGCTTTCCGGCCGCTGCTTCCTCCTCCTCCTCCTCCTCCTCGTCCTCCTCCTTCGCCGCCGCCGCCGCTGTCTCTTGGGGGGCGGCCTGGGCGTTGCTGCCGCCGCCGCCGCCGCTGGCGACGCTGATGGCGCTGCTGCTGCTGCTGCTGCTGCTGCTGCTGCTGCTGCTGCCGCCGCCACGGCCCGCGCTCGCCTCAGCGCTTCTTTTGTTCCATGGCGGCTGCTGCTGCTGCTGCTTCTCCCCGCCGGCTCCAGCCGCAGCAGCAGCAGCAGCGGCGGCCGCAGGCAGCAGCGGCGGTGACGGCCCGGGCAACTCCAGCCCCGCCCCGCGCCGCTCCCCCAGCCGGGCGATTGGGTGGCGGCCGCGCGGGGGCAGCAGGGGCCGGGGCTCGGCGGGAAGCGGCGGCGGCGCCTGGGATTGGCGGGCGGGCGCGAGGCCAGCGGCGAGTGCGGCGGGTGGTGGTACTGACGGCGGCGGAGGCTTCTCGGGCTCCTTCTCCGCCTCCGGTCCGGTCCCCGCGGGCAGCATCCACACGCGGCGCACCCTGCCGGCTCTGCCCAATCTCGGTTGCGGGGAGGGCGGCGGTGGCGGCGGCGGCGGCCCGGGATTGTTGGGTTGGCACGGCGGGTATTGTGACGGGGCGCCAAGGGGAAAAAACCGGGGAGAGGGAAAAGCGGCGCAAAGGCGGGAAAAGCGGGCGCGGAACCGGCCCTGTGGAGGTCGGGCAGGCGGAAAGGGGCGGTCTTCAGACAGCCCCCGTGGACCTGCAGGCCGAAACCGGCCTCTTTTTGCAGGCTTCCAAGGCAGGGAACTCTCTTCATTTCAGCTGGCTGGCTGGTTGGGCGGGTTTGCACCTTCTGCGCCCCAAGCAATGGTTAAGCGTGAATCAGGTTCAGTGGGTTGTGGGAATGGAGCTGTTGAAGTGTATGGGGAAGGTGTGTTCAAAAGGTTGAAAAAGACACAGGTAAAAAAGGTGCTTTTTTTTTGCCTAAATTGAGCTTTGGATGGGGGGGCTCTTCTGGGAGAAGACACCCCCCCACCCTGCAAGGGATGCTCTGAACACTTCTCCTGATCCCTATGCGTTCCTTCCACAACCCATCCACCAACTGGGAATGATGGTTTCCAGTAGTGGTGGGATTCAAATATTGTTGCCACCAGTTCGGTGGGCGTGGCTTGGTGGGCGTGCCTGGTGTGCATGCACACACTTTGCACGCCAAGCATGCACTTTGCGCAGGCGCGTTTTAACTCTCCTGCAAGCCTGCACGATCCCGGTTGCTTCAAGCAGCTGCCACGCGGCACTCTTCTGTGCTGCGCAAAGACGCTGCACTTCAAATTCAGAGGATAAAAGTGAATATGGGAGCCCAGGTGGGTGGGTGGGCCCAACAGCAAAGCGGTGGAGAGACCCGGTTCGGTCTCTGCTGCTCGTTGCTACCGGCTCGCTAGAACCAGGCCGAACCGGTCAAATACCATCACTTGTTTCCAAGCCTAGGGCAGCTGGGTTGATGATAGGAAAAACTACTTGGTTCTGCTTTTGCCAGGGCTACTAGAATACTACCTGAGGGTTGTGGGTCTGTGTGTCTGTATGCACAGATAGTCCTCGACTTAACAACAGTTCATTTACTGATGGTTCAAAGTTACAACAGCACTTAAAAATGTGACTTATGACTGTTTTTCCACAGTTGCGACCTTTGCAGCGTTCCAGTGATCATGTGATCAAAATTCAGGGGCTTGGCACCTGGATTTATGACACTTCCTGTGCCCCAAGGTCATGTGATCTCTTTGTGTGACATCTCTGACAAGCAAAGTCAATAGGGAAGCTGGATTCACTTAACAACTGTGGCAGGAAAGGTCGTAAAATGAGGCAAAACTCACTTAACAAATGTCTTGCTTAAGAACAGAAATTATGGGCTGAATTTTGGTCGTTAATTTGAGGACTACCTGTATGTGGTTGTGTGTATGAGTCAGATAGCAGTGAAATCCATGCAACTTACAGTGCAGCACCAGCAGGCCTGAATAGGGATTGAGTTATCAGAGAGTAGTTACTTCAGTCATTCTTTAGGTTGGTAATGTCTCTGGAACCTTCTCCTATTTTCAACTTGATCTTGATCTAGGAGAGTTTTGAGCTTTCCTCTTCTCTAAGGTAGTAGGCTTAGAGACAACTAACCAACCCCCTTTCCAAAATAAAGCTCTTCCCAGATTGTTATCTCCAGTGTTAGAACATAAATAATAGGGTTGGAAAGGGACCTTGGAAATCATCTAGTCCAACCCCCTGCTCAAGGCAGGAGTCCATATACTGGATTAATGGTTGTCCAATCTTTTCTTAAAAGCGTCTATGATGGAGCACCCACAATTCCAGAAGGGGCAAGCTATTCTGATTAATTATACTCACTCTCAGGAAATTCCTCTTTATATTTCCAGATTGGATCTCCCTCTGACAAGCTTCCATCCATTGCTTCTTGTCCTACCCTCAAGTGCTATGGAGACTAAATTGATGCCTCTTCCTTGTGGCAGCCCTGCGAGTATTAAAGTCCATATCTAGTCTCCGCTAAGCCTTCTCTTTGTTAGGCTAAACATACCCAGTTTCCTTTGCCCTTCATCATACAACTTAGCCTCCAGATCTTTGATCATCTTAGTTGCTCTTCTTTGCACTGTTTCTATGTCCTCAGCAGGTTTTCTTTTCTTTTAATGTATCATATCAACTGAAAACAAGAGATAATTAGTTTGCATCTGTTTAAATAACATACATGTCTCACTGTGTTGTGAGCTGCTAAATAAGAGAAGTGGGAAATAAAATCATTTATCTTTTAGACAATTTTATTTTTTAAAATCTAGCCGTATATAGTGCCTTGTCATCTTGCTTTTTTTAATAGGAAACGATGCAGGTGATTTAAACTAATGTCTAGACCATGGCTTTAAGTTGCTTGGTTTTTAAACCATGCTTTAGCTGCCCAAATCTGATCAAGTTTTTAAAAAAGGGAACAACACCCCCATGCCAAATTGGTCTTCAACACTGGGGAGTAGCTTAATTTTTTAGGGGGGGGTTGATCATTAAACAAAACTTATGAATTATGAATTCAGCCCTTTTTTCTTGCTCTCAGTAAGCATTTTGGGTGGACTTGTTTACTGTTATGGGTTTTGTATGCTGCTTTGAACGGTGATTCACAGTCTTTGAAATGAATACAAATAATTGGTGTACACATTTAAAAATATTTCCAGAGTTTTGGCAATAAACAGGGAGGCAGTGAGGATGGATAAGGGTCTAGGAGATACAAATTACGCAAAGTTGAAATATGTAAATCCAAAAAGCAAGTAGCTTTCTGGATATACAGGAACTTATAGAGTTTACTATTCCCAATGCACATATAAATCATTGAATAAGCCAAGCTCGTAACACTCTTGGTAAGAGTTCAAATTAATCTTTTAAGTCTAAAAAAGGGTTTGGTAACCGTGCTACATTTTTATGATATACTATATACTTTTTTACACTAACAATTTGCCTTTGTTTTGCATGGCCTGCCACCGTATGATTACTGGTTAGTGCTCAGTAAACGTTGGCAATTTACCAGGCTTCGCAGACTAACTTTCAGAAACTGCTTGATGGCATGCCAATTCGCCTCAAAAATTGGGCATGTGATTAAATGATCACATAATAGTTTCCATGTATACCAAGAGGCTCAATGCCCACATTCTTCTCGTTGTCAAAGACATCTGAATTAGCTGCTCAGGGATATCTAATGTGACCTAAGAGATTGCTAATATGAATTATATGGACTTGAGGCACACTTCTGTTTATTCTATGGAAGCGTATAGCCAGATTTTTGAAAAGGAGAATTATATTCTATTGGGGGATGACCAAAAAAAAAAAAAAGATTAAATGCTAATATAGTTTCAAAAGTTAGCAATTTTTGTAGTAATTTTATACTTAAAAAATTCTTAAAAAATTCACCAACACATTCTTAACGCCAGGCTGGTTTAAACATTGTGTTGCATGTATTAAAGCTGTTGCATCCTGAATACCAAAATGCTTGCAGGTGTTTTGGGCTTTGCAGAAAATTTACATCTTCAGCAGCTTGCATGCAGCTCTATTTTCAAGCAGCATCCATACAATGGGCTACACGTAGTCCTCAACTTACAACCATTCTTTAGTGACTGTTCAAAGTTACACCACCACTGAAAAAAAGTGACTTATGGCTATTTTTCCATTGCAGCATCCTGGTGGTCACATGATCAAAATTCAGCCGCTTGGCAGCTGGCTCATATTTATGACCTGTGATCCCCTTTTGTGACATTCTGACGAGCAAAATCAATGGGGAACCAGATTCACTTAACAACCATTAGTACCTAGTGATTCATTTAACTGGCAAGAAAAGTCGTAAAATGGGGGAAAGCTCAACTGTCTTAATTTCTAGACAAAATTTCTAACAGTAAATTGTAGTTACTACATATGTGGTAGTCCTTGACTTATGAAGATTGAACCCAAAATTGTTGTAAGTTTAGGACTACTTGCATACGTAGTAACTGCAATTTTATTTATCATGCCTTTACATCTTAGTGAAGAATAAATAGGGCAAAAATGTAATACACTAGTCCTCAACTCCTTTTTTAATATGTTTTCATTTTATAACATCAATAAATTCCAGTTTCAATTGAACAGTGTCTTGTCTGGGTACAAATCATTTTAGGAAATAAAGTGTTTACAATAACATTCGTTACATTAATATCAGTTATAACAACGATAATATTTAATCAATTTGACACCTTCCTTGTATCACTGATCCTTTCATCTATTTCCCTGTTTCTAGCTCCTGTTTCTGTCTGCTAACCATTGATAAAGTAAGTTCCAAGTCAAAAAATATTCAATTCCTTCCTTTTCCTTAATTGTAAGTGTTTCTGCACATTCTAGTATTTTTTAAATTACCTTTTCATCTATTGGGATCTCTTTACTTTTCCATTGTTGTGCAAAAATTATTCTAGCTGCAGTCTGATTTTA